GCTATTAAATCCCTTATAAACGAGTATAGGCGGTTGCTTATATAAGCCGTGAAATCCGTAAACTCAGAGAAACCAGCTCCATATAAACCCCTTTTTCGGGATTGAAATCATACGGTCCGTCAATTTCTGTGGGGGGTAGTCCATCAGAGCCCCAGTCCTCAATAAGGAAATTGTTTAGGGGGTTCGGAATAATAGAAAACTTCGCCAGCCGTCCTAATAAAAAATGCCTACGGAACACCCTAAGCTTTGAACATTTCTCACTTTCTCTCAACCACTCTCAGTTGCTTGTGTTGCTTTTCTCACTAAGCATCAAAAAACAATCTCAGGCATTTATACCTAAGGTCCAGAGCTTTCAGCAGAGCTATGAATCCGGAAATTTCATTAGATTAATTGGGTTAACTTGAATCTAAAATGATTTTGAATAGATTTCCAATTGAATTTGATTACGTAGATTTTAAGTAAGTCCTGATTAGATTTCAATTGGTTTGAATTGATTTTCACCTGGTTCGAATCGGATTTCATTTGATTTTGAATAGGGTGTCATTAGATTTGAAAGTGGTTTTCATTGGATTTTCAATTGGTTTCAAGTGGTTAGGTTTCCACTTGAATTTGATTAGGCTTTAATAATTAATTAAGTTGCCCTTAGATTCCAGTTGATTTGAATTAGGCATTGATCAGTTTAAATTGGGTTTCTAATTCGATTTCAATTGCGCAGAATTAGATTTCTATCAATTATAGATAGCTTTCCAATGGTTTAATAGGTTTTGAATAGACTTTGATGCTAATGGTAATGCTGGTACAAGCACTAATACGAAATCAAATACCAGCTTCAAGGCAGCTACCGAAATTCCAGGTTCCTATCGATTTTAATTTTGCGGCAAATTTTGGGGGGCGGCCGCGATTAAAGAGAATGACAAATTGTTTAGGGGGGGCCTTATCATTAGAAAGGGTGCAACACTATTTGTGGCCCTTCTGCCGTGCGCAAAATGCACTTAAAGTCGAGTACTAACGTTTGATAACGTTTGTTTAAATACAGCCTACAGCCCCGTCTGGAAACAGCCTGAAGAATCTGCCATTTTCCAGGAAGCCGCGATGGCTAGAAGACCAGCTGCCATGCACAGGGCCCCGTTCACCTGAGACGACTAGCTCCCTGAGGCATGAAAAAACACGACTTTCGCTTTTCTGCGCGGGCGTCCAACTGCTAGGTGCAGTTCATGCCGGACCAACTCCTGAATACCTGCTATACCTTATGCAAATGAAATTGGGAGGCTCCAAAATGATTGACGATTGCTGCTGGTTGCGACAATACACACGTTGCTATGAAGCTTCTGCTAGTGCGGTCTGTGCTCATGACCAACTCGGGTAGTAAGAAAGAATCAGACGACTCGCTGAACTGCTTGAAAGCTGCCATGATGGGAACGTTGCGGCCCATCTTGGAAAGTCCGCCTCCTAAGCCTGCCAGCTGTCGCAGGTCAAGGTGGACAGGCGGGGATGCAACAAATCACGCTGGTGGCCGGTTTCACCTAGCCAGCTTTTTGGAAGGTGCTCTTCCAAATCACGCTGGATGTCGAAGGGTCTGGTGCTGGCTGGATGCAAGGAAGGCTGCGCCAGCAAACCAAGCTAATAATAGTCGTCAACTTCCCTGCAGATCTTCCCCCTGAACCCTCTCTCTTTCTCTCGCAGACTCGGGTTCGTCAGCTGCTGTGCATAGCCGGGCAGGCCATCACTCTTGGAGTCCGGCCAGTTCACCACTCAATTCAAGCAGTGAAATTCAGGACTATCAACGCACAATCATAAACCCTACCTGCAGATTTTCCTCTAACGCTTTCCTGCAGACTAAGCTCTCTCCCTTGCTGTTCTTGCATTGTCTACTACAGCCGCGGACTCGTAAACGAAGCCACAATGTTGATGTTTGGCACAACATCAAACTACTCAATTCCAGCCTGGCCCAAATGCAAAGGCCAACCCATTGCTACTCATCAGGTAGCCCAAGTACCTCAAGTGACGGAGATGAGAGTGAATAAAGAAGCTGCAACCAAAGCTCGCAAGCGCTGCCTGATTACTGTTGCGGGACCAGGTGCCTGCCCTGCTGTTGTTTGGTGTGTAACATGTGTACAAGTAAGTTAGGATCATGCCGAATACGTTGCCTTCTTCTAACATCCATGATCTTATGCTTTTGTGGTTGCGGGTCACCATCATCTACTTCCAGCAACAACATGGAGCATGTACAGTACCCGCAATGCTCATCAACTACTTCCAGCAACAACATGGAGCGTGTGCAGTATCAGAAATGTATTTCTAAAAAGCTGCGTCAGCCTGCAGGCGTAACAGCTGTACATGCCAAGCACTGCCTTTGGGGCAGCGAGGTGGCTTTTGCGAGGCTTGGATTTTTCATGGTTATGCTCTCAGGTTGGACTCTGCAGGATAGATTGGGGCGCTGCAGGGGACCTCAGGGAACAGCCTGGAAACTCTGCGGTTGGGCATTGCAAGGACACCGCGCAGTTGGCACTGCAAGGATACTCTGCCGTCGAGCACTGCCAGGATATACTCTGTGCTTCCGCGCGCGGTTGGTCACTGTGTTACTGCTGGGATACGCTATGTTTGGGAACTGCTGGGATACTGTACTCTGCGGTTCAGTACTGCAAGGGTATTCTGCGGTTGGGCACTGCTGGGAAAACTCTGCGGTTGGGCACTGGGATACTCTGTTGTTGGCACTGCAGGCATACCCCGCAATTGGGTAACGGTTGGATGATCTGCAGTCGGGCCCTGCACGGGGGGTGAGGAGAACATAGACTAAACAACCTCATTGTGAGGGAAGGGGAAAGGCTCTTGCGTAGGCTCTAGATCATTGCGACATGTGCGGATGAAACTCTTGGAAGTGCCTTGTCTGGGGTACAAATGCAAGCCCGGGCACATGTCCGACCTGAAAGCCAATCCATAAATCATGAGCACTCCACCATTTCTCAACTTGGTAGCTCCTTCTTGTCAAGCCATAGAACCCTATGTTTGAGGGGCTGAGGGGCATTTTAATTTAATGCTCTTGGCGGCAATGAAATACCCGAATTCTTGAACCTTCAGCCTGGAGCGTACTTGGGAGCCGGCTCGGGCCGACAGTCTTCACTGGAGACATCGCAGATATACACATTGGCTGTGCTGCCTGCGCTTGAAGCACCACCCGTCAGTTCCATGAGGAGCTACCGTAGCGCAGGAATTCAAGCAGGCCAGCATGCGCTCTTCATGATTCCTGATATTCACAAGGCCCGAAGAATGGAGCGTGCCTGAACCTGAGCTGGTTGAAACTGCAGCTCTTGGTCAAAGTGCGCTCGTAGCCTACTCTGTTCCACAACGTTGCATTAAAGACCACAAGCCTGCAAGTATGAAACCGCTTTCAAGAGCAAGATTGCCAAGCCTACAGCACCACAGAAGCCACTGATGATGCGCCCGAGAAATAGGATGTCCAGCGTGGGCGCAAGGCCTGTCGAATTAATCTGGAGGCAGGGCTTGTCATTCAAGCTTGCCCGGTCCGGCTTCACAATCATGCCCCTGTAACTGTAATAATTATTGCCGGAAGGCAAGACCTCAGATCCACAGATAAATAGATTCAGAATCACAACCGCAGACTGCAGAGGAACTATATCAACATCATGAAGCACTTCCCAAGGCCTTGTACAAAGGCACCAGTCGCAGCACCAAAGAGTGAGAGGACCAGCCTTCAAAGACATCGTTGGCATTATTGGTGTTGGGGGTCAAAAGTCGGGAATTGAACGATGAACGTTCAGGAACAAGATACTTTGCAGGCCCATGCCAGCAATGACCTTTAAACTGTGAAGCAGTGCAACAACAAGGATTGCGTCAGCCTCTTTTGTGCTAAGCATGTGTTCAGATTGGTTCACAGTTTCTGCATCTGCCATACTTGCCAGGAAACAGTCTGGCCCCAAAATATCAAGTGGCCAAATGCTAGCAACTTGCACCGCTGCACCCTAACGACTCAACATCCGCACCATCTAGAACAGCTTCTCCATAAACCAACTCTTCCCGCTGTTTCCCTTCCGTCTCCCGATTCTTATGATGGAAAAGCGAGCTGCACAGGCCGCCGGCCGATGGAGTCCGAAAGGCGGCCCAGCAAAGGCAAGGCGATGACCTGCACTCTGTTCCAGGATAAATCTTGACGCAAGAGAACAGTGTTCATCACATGAAAGCCAGGATATCACTATGAGCGTTTCGGCAGGGGTATCAAGTAGAAACCAACCATGGGCGCCAGTTGCTACCAATTGAGGTGCGTTAGACAACTAGCAGCGCCACGCAAGACAAAAACAGTGAACCCCCTCGACGAAGAAATGCGTTCTTGACGCAGCTGCAGTACCAGACAAACCCCCAGCAGGTACGACAGCATAGTGACCTACAACGATAATGATTGATGCGTAGCCTAGTAGCAGTGAGTAAGTAACCCATACTGCGAGGTCAGCCCAAAAGGATCCAAAAGGTATGACACCAGCAACGGGTCATGCATCAACGTGGCCTGCGCGAGTGAGTAGGTGCTGAAGAGCCAGCCTGCATGCTGCCCGCTTGCCCACTGTCGCGCTGAGGGCTGCACTGGTGCAAGCAGACGCTCTAGATTGCTCTAGTATGAGGGGGCATTCGCACTCGCGAATGCAAGTGTCCACTCGGTAACTCGACTTGCCAGCCCCCCGGAATTCCATTTTCTGGGTTCTCTCAGCGGGCAACCGCCATGGAATTTCGGGCCGTGGCTGCTACCATTCTTGTCCTAGTCGGCATGCAGCTTGCTAAGGTTTGCTTCCTGCAAGCACCATGTGCCGGAACTTTGTGCAAACACTTCTGGGGTAGTCAGACTGTACCCATGAGTGGCCTTTCTGCAAGGGTGAGAGACAACGAGTTGTCCTACTTTCATACTAAATTCTGACACTGTCGGCACCATAACAGAGCGTAAAGGGTGAGGAAGTATGATCGCCAGCATCTAAGCCAACATAAGCTAACACTGTAGGCTTGCTATCCGCCAGAGCTGTCTGATCGAAGGCTGCAGTCTCGCTGGCCAAATGAATTGGCTTCAGCCAAAATAGTTGTGCAAGGACGCGGCTGCATGGCCCTTTATCAGTTTCCACAGGCGAGGCGACAACTCAGACTGTAATTGACACACGTGAGTAGTGGGACCGGTAATTTTTTGGGAACAAGCAGTGGGACTGCAGTCTTCACCTGCAAACACACTTATGACCTAGAATGGGGAAACGTGCTGCACAGGGACCTCAGAGACCACGGCTGTGGAGTGCTTCAGCATCTTTTTAGACTCCCTGTGGCCTACTTGAGTGCTGCTTGCGTCAAACTCCCGGGCGTAGAACCTTCCCAATGCGCGATTCAAGCCACTTGCAAGACATGCCTCCTGCTACTACAGAAAGTTACTACCTCACTCCTTGCCAGCTGGCTACGTGATGTCATCTCTGGACTCATGGGACTCGTAAGGCACGACGAATACGTTTCTACAAATGCTTATCCGTCCCTCACTACAAGTACGACAAGATCAATCACAACCAGCCTGGAGTCTAAGACCATTTGCTGTCTCGTCAGACAGACTAGCAGCCTTGAGATTATTTTCCGTGTTGATTCCTGCTTCATCCCCGCCAGAAAAAACTGCGCCACAGACCCTCAATCATCAGATAATCTAACAGGGCGGCTAGTTTGCGGGTAAGACGCGGCATAACCGGCGCCGAGATGGAGCCACCCAACGAGTCTATAAAGACAGTGAGACAGACCTTGGACATTGCGAGGGTCGGCGCGCAGCTTTAGCAAAAGTGGGTTGACAGTTTTATGGCAGCGCTCCCTGTTTTGCATGCAAGTCGTGTCTTGGGGTCTGACTTTGGGCCGTACATGCGTCATGATTGGCTTGTTATGATAGTACGCATGCATGCAGTACGGCTTTTTGAAGTGCTTGCACTTCTGATAGACCTGCCGTGTCATTAGCGCTGTCAAGCTGCCATCCATATGGCCTCCACGGGAACCGTGAGGCGCCCTGGACAGTTGTCGATGGCGTCGAGGTCCTGCTTGCAGGATTGGTGCGAAGCTATGATTAGCCTGGCGGACACGCATGAAGGGCCAAAATTTCCTTTTCTGCCTGCCACTGAATGATGACATGTTAAAAAAGAATGTTGTATGTCCTCTTCAATCAAGGGCTTTGTCAGAGTCCTCAGCTTACAGCTCTAAGCAATAAGCCTTCGACTAGAGCTTAGAGACCTCCAATCATGTCGTGGTATGACTATCCAACACACCATGCGACCGCCTGTCTGTACTTGCAAGTCAAGATGCATTGCAATCAAATCGGCTGCAAGCTCAGCTGCGGCAGATGGCAAATCCAATTGCAAAACGTGGGTGCAGTGGTTGAAAGCTGCGAAATGCTTTGGGGACTTTTGTGCAGTTCAAGGTTGACCTGCTGCATCCTAAATTATGGGCCCATAGAGTTGAGCAGCTCGTGCGGGCAACCAGATGGGTGATGTGCCTGCTCCCTACTGAAGTTTCACATCCGTGGGACAATCGGCGGCACCGCTCTTTCGAGTTGTTCCGGCGCCACTGCTGCTACTACGCGGGGAATCCGGAGGGCATCCTTGCATGTGAGACCTTTGTCATTTGACCTTATTCAACTTTAAGCCCTGCAAGAGCAGGGCATTCCTCGTCTTGAGCCAAAGCCACGGCAAAACGAGGATCCCCAGCACATCCAAAAAAGCTATAACTTGTCTGCGCCTGCTCTGGCACTGACTGAATAGCCCAGCCTTCGTAAAGAGACAACATACTTCTGTCATGCAACTGCACAATGGTTCTTCATCGCTGCTTTTCTCCATGGAGCTATTAGCCGGGAGCCGGGACCTGAGAAGCATGGGCAAGCACCCTACATACATGCCATCGCAACCGACGAAATTGGAAGACTCGATGTGCAACATCAGAAAGCCAAGTTACATTTGTCTTCGCAAGCGATGCTGTTTAGCAAGCAACTCGCGCACCAATTGGTACACAAACCCTTACTTAACTGGAAACCCACAGGCCTGAGCTGCACCCAGAATCAGACATACTGTCATAAAGATTCAGCCGAGCAGCCTGTACATACTCTCCCGGCGTAGCGCTGAGATCGCAACCAGTCACTGCTCCAGCGTTCAGCCAGCCGCTCAAGGATTTACAGTGCACGCGCCGGCTTTCGGTGAGTTCGCGCGATGATGTTGAGAGATCGCTGATCTCCATGTTACCGCAACCGCCGATTGCAGCAACTGCGCGCAGCCCGCAGCCTGCGCAGCTTCGCCAGGCCTTAACGAGGTGCAACAGAAAAAGGGGCGGACAACGCTATGTATGCCGCATACTTATGTCCTGGGATTGGACGATTGAAGTGCAAACACGATGGCTCGACCTGGGGGTCGCAGAGCAGCAGAACTCTGAGCCGACTCAAACCTTCTCCGTTGGCACTTCCATGCCCTCTGCACAACCAGACTAGACCCACTTTCAGCAGCATGTCCATTGTTCGACAAGTCACGACAAATTTACTGCACATGATACGATGCCATCGCTGAACACTGGCTGCACACATCCTATGCTGATGCTCAGAGTTCCACCGCACCTAGATCACAATTTTGTAAAGCCAGCCTGTTTGGGGCAACTACTGGCAAGCTCGGCATCATCCTACACACAGACTCAAATAAATCTGTGCACAAGTCTTGCCTCACGCAGGGTACGTCTAAAATATCTGTATACACACCTTCAGCATTGGACGCGCAAACTAGAGGTGGTCATTGTCTGCGCCTTTGTTCATGGGCTCAAGCTGCATGATCACGAGCTCTTTCTAAGCCCCGAAGTCTCTGAGAATTAAAACACAACTCTCGGGCAAGGCCTGCACTGCACTCCAGGCCCAGGCGAACAGGCAATGGCAGTTGAAGGGGGCAGCTGTGGCCGGCAGCATTCCTGTTTCGATGCTGGGAACATGAGAAGGTCTGAAGTGCGTTGGACTGTTACTCACACCCGCTTGCTGATTAAGGTGACTTACTTTGGGTGCTCATGTCCGTCCTTCTTGGGCAACGACAGTACCGTAACACGATGAATTGCCCCACCCGGCAATTCCAACGTGCAAAAAAATACCCTCCGCTCGCTCCCCTTCAGTCCAACCCAACGAAACCATAATGGCCTTTGACTGGCAATAAATTAGTCTTCCGAACAAGCTTCATCCCAAAGCACTGCTGGGGACGCGCTAGGGTTGGGTCGTTGGATACCCTTCGAAAAGCCCAGACTCCAGCCACTGTCATTGGGCGGATAGATGTAGAGACCCTCCGACGGATCGAAAATGAATGCCTCAACTGCACTCTGCAAGCTTAGCAGGCTGCCATTATGTGCAAAGGAGCGGAGGCAATTGCAAAGAGGCAGCCACAGAAGAAACATCTTTCTGGGATTGGGTTGGCATGTCCAGCGTCTATGTTGTTTCCTGAAACATGGCAGGGCCGAAGAAATCCTGCCTCATTGCGGAGGGATGCATAATGGCCCAGCGATAGGTCGCCTCAACTCCAACCAGCACGTCGCACACTCGAGGGTGCTTTGGTTAATCACACGATAACAACCATGCACCTTAAATCTTCCAAATAGACCGTCTGGAAATCTGCAGGCTTCTGGACACAGAGCTGCGCAGTCCATAGAATTGCGAATCCTGATATCAGCATGATATTGCCTCTTCTAAGCTCTTTGCGATGCCTACTTTTGTAGCCTTCCTGAACTTCGGGTTGATAGGCAGGTTCTTGATAGGGTGCACTGAGGTCCAGCCCAGCTAAGTAATTCTTCTGGCTTAGAAACTCCTGAGCTTCTGACCATTTGCGGTGCCACGGCTCCGAATGCCGGCACCAGCCAAAGCTGTTTCCTCATTGGCATGTAAGCAGCTTGGTAGACGTTTGTAGGCACCTCACAGCAGTTACACCTGTCACGAGCACTGTGCGGGCTACGTGGAGGCTGCAACGAGAAGTGGATGGATCTCAAATCAGCTTCACGTTCAAGGTCAAAATTCGGCCAAGAGCATGATATCACGTGCGTGAAACGCGAATTGCTAGATCTTAAAACTTGCAGCTGATAGCAGATTCAACCAGGGCACCGCCTGCACTACGAAGTCAAGCCAGAACTCACTGGCGCGCTCAAACTCTGGTCCCAACCAGAAGTTGTGCTCGAAACCTGATCAGCGGGGGTTCCGTGGGGGAAGGAGATTTTTGGACTCAAGTGTCTCACACTTTCTCAGAATCATTGCAGAAAGCCCAAGGCCAAACTAATACTTCGTTGCACTGCCTGGGCGGCATGCACTACATAGTGGACTACCACACTCCGCCCTGCAGGTAGGTGCCTGGGCAGTATCCCATCATCGGACCCCCTCCTTTGTATGCAGGATGATCTTGGAAGATGTAGACCTCAGCAAGAGCCAAAACTAACTGGTGTTGTACTGTACGAGTCTCTGAGCATTGTTGCGCAACCCCCATCAGCTTTCTTCAGCCTGTGCGCGCACACAAAGCTGCCAGCGTCCCCACAAAGTCTAAGCCTAAGCCCTGCTGCTCCAAAAACCTTTCATGAACCCTTGAATCCCAGGAACTGTCAGCTCCCTACCACGTTGCTCATCTGGCCAGGAGTCCAACGCCTTAGACGTAGATGGCGTGCAGACTTCAAATGGCAATGCTTGAGGTGATGCGACTGCGAGTCGAGGACTCTTTGATAGCAACCCAAGTATAGTAATTTCGCCCTCAGGGTATGCACATGTAGAAAATAGACATAGATGCTGACATGGGTACGAGGACATCAAGTTTGAGGGCTCACTCAGGTCGGACTTCGGGTCGAAATACGGCTGAGAAGCAAGGACGTCGTTTCCTGCTACCAAGATATTCCTTTGAGCCTGCTGATCAAAAAAGACCCCTGCAAACGCACCGCATGCTTGGCCTCTGGACCATGGACCCCGACATGACAGGTTCAGCCGAATGTGCAGGTCCCTCTCTCGCTTCTTGTGCTTGTCTAAACCTCTTTTCAGCATTCCCCAAACCATGCCAAACCCAACCCTGCAGACCACAAATCTGAACTATTCCAAGGCTCCTCGCCAGCAACAGCCTTCATCCCAAAGTCGCAGGCCTTTACGGCTTGACTGTTCTCAGGGCCTAGGGGCCTGTTGGCTTTGCTCAGGACAAATGCCTCACAGAAGCCTGAAAGTCAGCTGCAGGGTGAGGTAAACGGATTTTGGTGACAAAAGCTTGGGCAAAGAAAGGTCTCAGGGTTCAAGCCATCAAAACGAAGTGGTTCGCGAACCGTGACTGCGCAAAAAGTTCGGCGCCAGGTAATGCATAGAAAAACTCTGGACCATCGAGCTGTCACTATGACTGAAGCACAAAGCACATCCCCGTCATTGCGTGGGCCTGGTTCAGGAAGATCTCCGATAGCACGTTCCAGGCCCTGCCAGCACTGTAAGGCAATCTGATAAGCATGCGAACATGCAAACTGGCAGCATAGCGGAAGGACTTAGTTCTCAGAGTCCGCAGGATCTATCAAACAGCGCCTGCGTGCCGCTTAGCGGGGCCTTACTTGAAATGGCTTCGCACAGGTGGAATCGGGCATTACAGTCTTAACCTGCTCATGCTGCGCTATGCTGCGCTTAAAACGGGCCAAAGACAAGCCTTGGTACGTCGGCCATGGCCACGGAGAAGTGCAGCTTCCAGTCTGGCAGCCGATGGTCGTGTTCATTTTGAGCTAGCCTTGGTAGAGCTGAGTCATCGAGAGCTGGCGTCTCTGATTAGGCCATTGTTGTTTGTGCTTGTTTCTTGCTTTCCTTCCTGGCTGGAAGCTGGCTGATCGGGCTGAAGCTGAACAAGTGTTCGTGAGCCTCTATACCCGTGAACTCAGGAGGCTGGGAGGCAAAAACTCCCAAAATCCTGCGACAATTTTGCTGTACCAACCGCCAGCCTCTGAACAAGGGGTTTGGAGCTGCCAGCTCCTGTCTCGTGCAAAGCATGCTGCTCGCTTTGCTGCACCCTACCAAGATTAGCCATCCTGGCCTTCCTGACAAGTCACCAAGGCGCACAAACTTATGAGGTAAACGTCTTCAGCTGCCAGTCACGGCCAAGATGCCAGTACACGCGGCCACGCTCAGTGCAAAGTCGAACGAAGCCGCCAGTGTGCAGAATTTCGTACCTGGACTAATTAAAAGCCCAGCACCATAACTTCAGGCAAAATGCTTCCGCCAGATGCCAGATGGGTCCGTGTGAGGAGCTGGTGGGTCTGATGGGTCTTGGAAAAGATTGATCCTGCCAGGGCCTCTGACAAACCTATGGCCTCGCAGAAAAAGCAGATACGGACTGACGGACCTCCTACTGAGGGTTGGCGCTACTATAGTAAAGTAGCGTTAGCAGCTAGCCTTGCTGGCAAGCCTTTGAGTCTGTATGTGCGGCAAGGTCGCTCAGTTGAGCGGAAAAGTCTTCCAATGCCTGGATTGGATGGCTTTGCAAGATGGCCGGGTTTTGGCTCATGATCTTTGGCGCCAAACGGCGCACGAAACACGGTGAGAAAAAACGCTCAGTGGAGCAAGCTGTACCGCAGAGTTCGCATGTCACGAGACACCACGTTCAGACCAGGTGCACGTTCGCTGAACCTTCAAAGGGGCAAGCGAGACGGGCCATGTTAAATTCCTGAACTCGTTAGCCGAATTTGCAACACAGTCTAGGGGCACGCTGAATGAGAGATCTGAAGCAAAGAGCTCACCTCCGGCTTGTTTAGCACCGCCTTGCTGCTTATATACCTTTCTCGATCGAGCACACGTGAGGATTGTACTGTGGTCTTTGCTGGCCCTGAGGTAGAACCAGTAAAGTATCATGCTAGGGATAAGCGGAGCCTTACTGCGTCTGCTGATCCGCAGCGTCTCGTGATGAATGCTCACCATGACGACTTTTTGAGAAACTGCCAACCGAGCGGTGTGTAAGGACTAGAAAGAGCGTCAAGGTGTGTTGGTTGCAGTTGTCAAAGTCAGTCAGAAAATGTCAGCCAGCATGTTCAACGCCTCCTCCGTTCGTTCAGTTTTCAATAACCCCTCGCTGGGGCACCTTGCACATCCTTGGGCCTGAGAAATTCTAACATTCCGAAACTATGGGCTAGCCTTGGGCTCGTCCTCCAGGACCTCCCAATGGAAGGGGTTGGGCGCAGCACGGACAGCCACTTCGGTGCAGGTCTCGGTCCTCACAAAAAGCCCAAGGCTCATCCGAAAGCATGTTGAGGCCTTGCCACCCTTCATCCGGCTAACCCCCTACAAGATGATCTCGCCAAGATAAACCTGCCTGACGCCAACATCAACACCTGAACGTTCCCCAAAGCAGTCACTAGATACAACAACACCCATGCTCCTGGTAGCCATGAGGCAGCGCGCTAAGCGAAACTACCACTGTCGGCTTTGAGCCATGCGTCTGCGCCTCGTCCTGAACATCTCCTGCTTGCGAAGTTGCACACATCACAGCGCAGGCAATCCGAAGAAGCATCAATGATCAAGCATGCCGCTTGCATGTCTCAATTTAGCTGTTTAGCTACCAGTAGCTCCCAGTGCATGCCAACATGAACAACAAACCCTGGGTTCGTTGCGGCATGTGCCCTAACTATGCTCTATATAGGCTATTTCTTGGCCCAACTTCACAAGACAGAACACAGAGCGCGTCCGAACCCTTTCTACCCGACTACTGGGCATGCACCTTCCGCGGATCCCAGAGAAGCCCTGATGTCAGGGTAGAAATCCAGGCTTTGCAGGGCCAGGCCCCCGGGCATTTCCCATGGTGAGGCCACACAGCGGCCAGGTCTGGACCTTGGCTTCCAGTGTCCAACAACAGTGACCGCTCCTGAACGGCAAAACTAGACATGTCAGTACTCTGCTCGAGCACCTGCCTGCGTAGTTGCGAGTGATAACGGTTTAGAAAGCAGGATCACTGGCCTCGAATAGCTGGGTTATGCAGTTATGCAGCTCATTCCTCTAGGTGGACCCTGCGCATGCTGGATCAACCCCAGAGTGGTTGCTGCACATCACATCCTAATAGAAACCACTGGAGCATGAAAGGGGAACGGAGAGAGTGAAAATTCTCCCAAGCCATACAAAATGGGGGCGATCCTCGTACCAAATGGATAAAGGCAGGAGCAGAAGAATGTGAATCTCTGAATCAAGCGGAACCTCCTGAGACACCGTAACAAAGAGAAGCCAGCAACAAAAGACACAGGTTGAAGACGACCGAGAGCAGCTCAGAGCTCAAACGTTAAAACAAGTCCTGCCCCCTTCAGGACGCCCCTCCAGAACCTAATTGGTAGACCCCTTGCAAGTATATACTAATCCGAATCCCTGAATGTTTCATGGTGACACTGACATCAGAACTCACCATTGAATTCCCACTTGAAACATCTCTAGACTCAAAACTCCAACAGCAGCAACGCCCGTTGTTCTGTCACCAACGCTCATTTTTGCCTCTGGCTGCTACACTTCACTTCTCCTCTCCCACGGCCCTGAGCTGCGACCAAACCCTGAGGTGCAAAGCTGCCAGATCGATTCGGGCAGCATTCTATGCTGCTGCTACCTATGCAGAGCTGCACGTGCAAGAGCTGATCGCGGAGTCCAAGCATGCGTTGTCGGAGCCTGCGACCCACTATCTACAACAAGTGATATCATGCGAAGTGTCCCTGAAGGGTCATGTTCATGGCTGCGAACGCGCTCAGCATGTGGAAGTCAGTGTGGCTCCCTCGAATTTCCTCTAAATATCTTCCATGTCCCATGCAATCTCGCAGGCGGAACTTTTACCTTCGCCTGCCTTCGTGAATTCTGCAAACAGCCATACTGGAAGGGCAACAAAAGATATTTCAGCATGCCGACACAAGTTCTCACATAGCGTCTGCCTTAGACACCTTACTTAACACGCTGCGCCTTCCTCTGGCATCAACGGACTATCCGGGGCCGAAGTTTGCACATGCAATCTTTTCGAACTTCTGATGAACTTGTTGCTGCCTTTCCACATTTCCATCGGCCGCCAGGACCGAGGATAGATGCCATGCAAACCTTGTCTCACAGCTGTTAAGCTGGTGAGTACCCTTCTTCTACGCAAACGAAATGGCAATCATGTGGAAGGTCGTATCGACAAATGCCATGGCGGCCAAAGACCAGCCAATCAGTCTCGAGACCTTTGTTGACTGAAACGAATGTGTCAAGCTGCGGCTCGTTCGCGTGACGAAGAAACAAACCACCATCGTATACGTGCAGCATCATGCATTCTTGTCTTGAAGAGTTACCTGGCATGCAAACCCCGAACTGACAGCTGCCAGAAGTTGTTGTAGCTACCAGGGCCGCAGGAGGTCAAATTACAAGCCTACGTACAAGCTCGTGACTCCTAAGCCATCTTAGCGCGGTAGGACCTACTTACCATCGCCCATGATCTCCAACGTGCAATTGATCTTTATCTGCTTTAGCTGCAGTTGAAAGTATCTTGCAACGGTCCCTGTAGAGGTGATAACTCGGCTGTCATCCTTTGACTGTCTTTCTGCTTCGCATTTCATGATGCATCTGCAGGCTGATTCCAGTCGCTGCTGCGCGACGGTCGCGTGGATGTGCACTGCATTGTTCTCGAGCTCCTGCAAGCAAGACGCCACCGACTCCGACTAATTTTCTGATGCACTCTGTGGTTGAGTAAGCTCACTAGGACGCACTTGCACCTCCAGCCGCTCCAACGTTGGAAGAGGGTGGCTATAAGACTTCTGGATCCAGCTAAACACGGGGCAGTACTAAATTTCGGTACTAGCTGCACTGCCCCATGCTACATACATGACATCACATGACCATTGCATAGGCACAGATGCATAGATACACCTTCTGCTGGCAAGAACCCATGCAAGCCCATCCAAAATCACCAGGACAAATGGGCTGTTTGAGCAAACTCTATGCAGACAAGAGTTGTTTCAGAAAAGCAGGCCGACCCAAAGATTTTCCTAAAAAGGCTGTGAGCTGGAATAAGAGATGATTGGCCTTTCTGGTCAAGGCTGCAGCCGTAAGAACTGAGCTTTGGGGCCATTGAAGAAACAACGAGGGATGTACGGCTGGCTTGGGCTTACAGGCCCTCGCAGCGAATTGGGTTTACCATACCAAAATCCGCATAAACAAGGCTTAGATCAGCATTTAAGGAATTGGTTCGCCTCCTGAGCAGTGCCCAAAACCCTAATCCTATTTTATTTCGGAAATAAAAGTGCCTACGGTAGCTTACGTTTTCCAAGCTTTTGCTTGCGACAT